CGAATTAAGTCATATTTCAATATATACATTGACAATTTTTCATATTTGGTGGCCTAAATAAATGCGCAAAACGCACTTATCACAATGCCAATTGTACCTCGTTCGACTCCATGGTAGCCATTTTGGCTATCATGAAAACATGTGAAAAGTGCTTCTCTTTAACTTTCTTTATTACCTATTTAATACTTTGAAGCTTCTTACAAAGCGTAAATTGTTTGGTACCCCCAATCTCTTATGTTGATATATGGTTGAATATAAATTTGAAGTTTTGATCATAACAAACAAGTTGATCTTGTTTACTAACAAGTTATATGCAAGTTATTATAGTGTTTCAACGCATACATGAAGAATTGATCAATGGTCGTCAAAAGATCAAAAACTATCATTACAAATCGAACTCAAGAAGAAAGTCAAGATCGAAGTCACATTCAAGAACTTAAGAGCCAAACTCCGGAGCAAGATCAAAGACTTAATTTCTCAGCTAAAGTGTAAAGATACTAACACTTTGATATATGACAATAAATGCTTAACCTCAAAATCCTTCTATACATAAAAAATAATTTTGTGCATTAAAAGTCATTCTAATTCAATATTTTGATCAATGTAAATATGCCTTTTAAAATGATATTTGAACTTGAAAATATATTTTGCCCTTGTTTCTTTCCTCTATTAAGCAGAATTTGGACCTTTGCTACAGTGAATTAGTCGCAATAGTGGACCATTTTGTGTCATAGTGGGCTCCACTGTTTTTAAAAAAAGGGTCAAAAAATTAATTTTCTTGTTGAAATAATGTGAAAAACACAGGGGCTTTATTTTGAAGAGTCAGTTAAAAATACTTTCTAAAACTTCGTGCCCTTTAAAACTTTCGAATCGGATTAAACGAGGCAAAAAACGTAAAAAGACCAAAACTACCGGACGGTAGACCGAAAGTTTCCAACAGTCCAAAATTTGAACATTTTAACCTTTGATTTTTACTGTACAAATGGTTATATTGGTCATCCGGACAAGAGGAGGTCGACCGGACGAGTTATGTGAACTCCTAGACTTTTTTAACATTTTAACTCTATAAATACATCTACTTCTTGCATTCAATACAACATTCTTCAAAAACATTAAAATGAAATATTTTTTGAGAGATTTCTTTAAACTTACATTTGCGTTTATTTCATTTATTTCTTTATGTCAAAATCTTCTATTGATTCAAGCTCTTTAATCATCATTTTATCAAAATTTTTTATCTCTCCTTTTGTATTCATAAAAAAAGACATTTTGAAGAAAATCTTTGAATTTACATTGCATATATTTCTTCTACTTCTTTATATTAAAAACTTTGATTGATTGAATCAAACTTGTAAAATCATTATATTTGAGAAACGCGAGATTCGACTCAACTACACCTAGAGGGGGGATTAAGTATAAATATGGAATTATCAATCTAATTAACTAGCAACATATAACAAGTTAATTATGTCTAGATGATTAGTCAAACAATCCAATTTAGCCTATCTTTGAATACCATAGTTATATCACAACAATAAATAAAGCAGTAAACAACACCAGAATTGTTCACGGAGAAACCCAACGTGGGAAAAATTTTGGACGTTTTGCCAGATAATACACTTACAGACCACCAGCAAAGTTGAAAACACAAACTTTCTGATCTCCGTCTGAAGTAAAAAGCAACACTCCTGGAATGTGCACACGAACATCAAACCCGGCTCTTCTTTGTAAAGCAGTCCTCCTGGAATGAGCACACGAACTCCAATCCTGACTCTTTACGTAGTTTATCTCCTGTAGAACTTCCCAAAGAACTCCTCGTTTTTCAGATTCTCCCTTGATCTTTAATGCAGCACAATTGACGACACAATCTTGCAGCAGACCCAAGCGAAGAATGCAATCTAGTGTTTGATTTGGCTCTTTGATGTTTTCACAATGATTGACACATGAACAATGGAAGGATTGAACATTGATTCTTGTAAAGCATGTATTCTCTCTAAATAATATGATGTTCAATCTTACTTCGTAAAACATGCGACGCCTCAAAATATAGGTTGGACGAAATAGGTTATATGGGCCAAGTAGAAATCACGAAAATAGAAAATTAGGTCTAGCCGAATAATACGTCGCTCAATAGTATAAGGATCGGTACTCCTTGTTGTAAGTCACCGTGTTGATCATATTGAGATCCCCGTAAAACTCAATAGTGTGGGTCATATTAAGTTCCCATAAAACTCAATAGTGTATAAGGATCGGTGCTCCTTATTTATAAGTCACCGAAAGCGTTGTAAAGAGTTGAATTGCACCATAAGTCAATCAATATAGTGAAAAGACCTTGCTCGTGTCGAAGAGCGGAACAATTAAATCATTTGCATCATTTCTTCCATTTTACTTATTGCTTTCACAATTGTGCTTATTATTTGAATTAATCTATTTAGTCTTGCTTGAATTTTGATTAAATCTTTGAAAAAATTTTAAAAACCAATTCATCTCCCTCTTAGTTAGTTATTCTTGGACTATCATCTTGTTGCCAACAATTTTGCACAACATCTTGGAAGTTAGCATGACTAGTCCACATATTGAAAAATCTAAACGGTTTTCTCTTATTTTCTTCTTCGCCAAAAAGTGAGACAATGCACGGTGAGTGATCGAACAAGCACCCTGAAGGTAGAAAATGAGACAATCTATTTGTAAAGTCCCAAATTTTTTTTTATATAAATAGAATTAATTATTTTATATGCTATATTTTTATTATTTTGAAGTTAGGAACTAGAGTGACATATATATTAAATTCCAATTTTTAATTGTGTGAAATATTTAAATATTGATGGAGCAATGGTAAGTATATGAATATTGGACTCGTTGGATAGATCGTTATTAATCATAGGCTCGAGAAAAAAGTTAATTTGGATTAGCGAAGCCCAAGATATCGAGGTTGAAAGATATTGTCTGAATTTTATCTTAATTGAATTATTTAATGGCTGACGTGTGTTAAAGCAAGTTGTGGGTAATTAGTAATTGATTTTATCAAATACAGAAAGAAAATATAATAATAATAAAAAATTAAAGGAGAGAGAAAGTTATGAGAAGCTACGTAATGGGAATTATGATAGAATTGTTGTAAAATGAGTCAAATGGTCATCCTTATATTTTGGTGAAAATTTTACCAGCATGCTAAGTGTCTCACTAAGTGGTTGGTTGAGATATCTCATTTCACATGAATAGAGATGTGTGCTATAGTCATGTCAATCTCTACACGAAGTTCAATATTTTTATAGAGTTCTATTATAACTTTTCTACACAAAAAAGAAGAAGAGAGGCAAACAACAGCGTGGAACGTAATTTTTTGGTTTTATCTTTCAAGAATTTAATCTAACAAGGTATGATAACGAAGTGCAGTTTATTCTATCCCGTAAAATTTTTTTTTTTCATGTTGATGAATTATTATGCTTATGAAAGTTAAAGTTATGATATGATATGATACGCTATGATATGAATGATATGATCATTCCGGTACAAATGATATGATATGAACTCTTACAGATTTTTAAAGATATGATGACGATATGATAATTTTTGATACATGTTCCAAAATGTTTTATTCGGGATTGCAACGTTATTTTATATCCTACTGAGTATTCTCATGTACTCACCATTTTTCCTACTCTTCACAGGTTAGATCGGGTTCTTGGTCGACGGGTGCAGTCATGGGTGCCAGGATTTTTGATCGGGTTAGATCGGGTGCAGTCATGGGGTTAGATCGGGTGCAGTCATGGGTGCAGTCATGGGGTTAGATCGGGTGCAGTCATGGTGCCAGGATTTTTGAGACTAAAAGAGAAATAATTCGGTGTAATATGAACCTATTTATTTTCAGCATTAACATTTGTTTTATTGTTGTGGATATTTTATTTAAGATTTGAAATTTTTTTATTTAATTATGCATTTTCGTATGTTTTATTTTATATCAGTGAAGCCAATATATAATTTATCATCTATTATATACAATAAAATATTTAAATTAATTAACGAGAATTGTAGTTTAATAACCCGTTAATTGTAGTTGTAGTTACTATTCATGAAATGATTTATCAAATAAAGTCAAGGGATAATTATTATGCGTATGTCAACATTATGTCCTAAATTTTTAAACTGTAGATTTATGTTTATCCAATTCCCTCTCAAGCTAGCTCCTAACCGAGTTATTTGTCCAAGTGTAGAAACAACCCACAAAATGTCACATGACATTTTGTCATTAGTCGTTTTAAAAAATAAAGTCATGCACCGATCACTTTTTGCCACAACCTCATCTATCGTCCATGATGTCAAATTTATCTGGCAAAGTGGCATTATACATTTTCGAAACCTAATGCAAATCTTAGTAGCTCTAGAAGCTGCAAGGTTGACGTGGTACAGAAGGAATTAGACTTTATGACAAAGTGGATGACGCAAAAAGAAATAAGCAACTTCCCGATTTTTGGAGAAATTTTGGGGTTGTCCGTTTTTGGCAGAAGTTTAGTCAAATTTGAGTAGAAACAGGCCAATGAACAAGATTCAGTGGCTTTGCCCATGATGAAGGGCCAATTTCGAGCAAATTCTTTCGTTTATATTTTTGTTTATGCGTTTCTTTCTTTTTTGATAATTTTTGATTTGGATATATTCCACAAGACAATTGTGATTTGACCGTGATTTGATCATGGGAAATAATCAAATTTTTAATTCATTCTCAATTTGATAAAATAATAATGTTTCTGAAATTGACTTCTCAGGGACTCCTATTCCACAAATGCAATGCCCGTGATAATACAGTAAACCTATAAAGTATGACAATGTACATTCACGACAATGAACATTCACGGGCTTCTATTCTTATTGTTTCACCCCTCCCCTCCCCAACCCAACCCACCACGCCCCCACCCATCTTTTTTTCTATATAAACTACCCCATGCATTTCATTTAACCTCACCAAGCAAGCAAAAGAAATAGAGTTCAAAAAATCCTTTAATATGGAGGCATATCAGAAGGTTGCAATTTTGATGCTGCTTCTTGTAGCCATAAGCAGTAACATCGTCGAGGTGTTGAATGCACAAACCATATGTAACATTTCCGGTACGGGTCTGATGGCATGCAGGCCAGCAGCTACACCCCCGAACCCACCGCCTCCCTCGTCCGCCTGTTGTTCTGCGCTCTCACACGCAGACTTACGCTGCCTTTGCTCCTACAAGAACTCCAAATTGTTGCCGTCCCTGGGAGTCGACCCAAATCTTGCCATGCAGCTGCCGGCAAAGTGCAAACTTCCTCATCCAGCAAAATGTTAAGAGACATCTAACTTCGAGCGAATAAAGGAAGACTGTGATGATCACGTTACGTAATCCTAATGCTCCTTGGAGCATTAATTTGTGTCGATTTATATACTGTTGTGTGCCCGAAGGCTTGTTAGTTTCTGCATTTTGTTGTACTTCACATTGGCTGTAAGCCTATAGTAACAGTGCATATATGAGTGTGCGGGTTTATGTTTCTTTCTTCTCAATTTGTCAAAATAACATTTCCACTTGCTAAGCTAGTGGGATTTAAGATTATTGCACTTTTGTCAGATTTGGTTTCCCATTTTTATCCTTAATTTTATTATTTAGTCAATACTTATCGGAGAATTTTACTTTCGTCGACCCTACATGAGTGAATCATTGAATTCAAGGATATAAAAAAAAAATTCGATCCACCTGTGGGCCCCGACCTAAATGGGGGCGGGGCAAGAATTCTTGCTCCTATTGGGTTCGAGATGGTGGTGGGGGTGGGTATTGGCCGCTCCGCTGCAATTTCAAAGAGAATGAATTCAAGGATATCAAAGAAAACCTGATTGACATGGAGGGCCCGACCTGAATGGGGGAATTTCTAGCTCCGTCGCATCGGTAGGGTGGGGCAAGAAATCTTGCCCTGATGTGGGTTCGGGCCGGAGGTAGGGGTGGGTATTGGCGACCCCGCTATGATTTGAGATTTTTACTCTCTAAAACTACTACATCATCAAGTCTTTTAGATTCTAGTGAGCTCGGTATTGAACAACGGCTCAAGATATGAAAATCATTATTTGTTTCTTAGTTTTTCAAGAAATAAGATATAACCAAGCATGAAAACGTATCTATCATGTGGATTTGTCATCATACGGCAACTTGTCCCATCCACACCAGAGAAAGTGAATAGTTGTAATGAACCATATAAGAACAAGACGATGATCACTCTTGGAGAAGATTTAAAGTAACAAATTGTACAATGGAGCTTGTGAGCTAAGTGCATGAAGTTAGAGTGTCTTTGTAATTTTGCATTGATAGAGAAAAAAATCGATTGAAGTACACACAACTTCGAGATGTGACGTAAATGAAAGAGAAAAAGTCAAACAAATCACAAGATAAACTAGATTCAATCCCGAACAAATTGGCTGCAATTCAATCCTCAAAAACTTCAACAACTATAAGAGCGGAGACATTGCTTTTGGTAGTAGAAAGAGAAAGTCTAAGATACTTTTCAATAACTACAATTAGGCTTAATAGAAACTCAACAATAGTATAGGTCTTAATATATAATAAAAATAATTGTACAGAGTTATCGTGTTTTCTCCTCTCATTTTATATCTATTTGTGTCACTTGAAAGTTTATTTTTATATTTTATTTTTTAACAATTACAATTCAAACTTAGACGAGTAGACCTAGAACATACCTAGTAAATTTTGCTCCGGAGCATAGTTCAGTGGTGCAAAGGACATGAGTAAGGTAGTTTTAACAGAGCTAGTAGTTGCAGTGTGAGAGTTCGATTCCTACCTCCTATAAGATATGAAATTGGACTCTTTGTGGGTACCAGTATGGTAGCTCTTGTATCCTAATATGTTGAGGCACATCCCGCGATTTACCTCCTCTACAATGCTCTAGGGACAGGGCGGTGGGGGACCCTCAAGATTGGAGTTCAACCTTTTTTACCTAGTATATGTTTCATTAAGTTCTTTATGAAGACATGAATTTAATGATTTTCTTCCTTACAAATGAATAAATGGTATATTATTTAAACATGTTTAATCGCAATTATTTTATTCATATTTGTGACAGAATTAGAATCTGAAGTTCGAACTTGATGACAAATTCAAGAAACAATCACTGGTTCTTAATCTTCACAAAGTCAAGCATGCATGCAGTCACGGTCAACTCCAAAAATGAAAATTTTGCCCATTCCACCTCAGCCAAAGACAACTAGAATGAAAAAAAAAAGGGGGTAAATTTCACATGATCTCCAACTTTTCGTAAGTGCGATACTCATGTCTTTCCATTTATTATATAATGGTCTTACTTATAGAAAACTTTTGCTCGAATGTTAAATGATTATACACACTTACGTGACGTGGGTGATGAGTTGAAGCAAAGAGATTTTGAGTTATTCAAATTGCAAAATTAAAGTTGAACTCAATATTTTGTTTGTTTTAAAATAAAATGAAATCTTTTTGAACAATTTTACCATTTAGTCTGTATCACATGGTAATATTTTCCCTTAGCTCTTGACATGATATTACGATATCATAGAAATACTGCATGAACCCATATATAGAATATGCTCCCATTATTGGCATAATTTGGTTTCCCTCGATCATCTTGCTAGAGTTCTAAAAAGTTAGGAATAGAAGTGTTACAAATTATACGTTGGAGACATAAATGCTACGCTTATAGTAGAAAATTCTGGTATAGTTTACCCAAGCACGTTTGCGAGTGGTTTATAACCTATTTAAATTATTAATTACATAAAAATGACTGATGAATATTGTTGACCCCAAAAAATGAGTCAACAGAATTCCTGCCACGTCCCCTCCACGTGGACCTCCCTCTCGTTATAAAATGAATCACATATATATAGAAGTGAAAATGGCCCAAGTGGGCTTGTGGGCCTAATGGGCTGAACCCATGACCAATATGAGATATTTTATGGGTATAACAATAGTCCCCCAAGTCTGAGCCGTATATTCATGTGCAGGTCAAACTTCGAAATGTAAGTTGTTGGTAGGTGAGGTCTTGCAAATTGCCTCAGAAATATAAGTAGCTTGGATAAATCAGGATATACGAACCGCCTTTAGAAAATATGCGTGCCAACTTGAATAAGTGACGACTTACGAATTGTCTCGAAAGATGTCGCATATAATTTGTCGAAATTTCGGCAACATCTCCTCTGTAATATGAGCTAAACCAATCCTATAATACAACACAAAATATTAACTGCACATATACCAAATAAATTTGGGGTCCATTTGCCCCTCAAATTACTTATGACGATAAAGTGAATAATGACATTCTAAATTTCTCCGATATATAATATGCTTCATAACCTGTTAGCAGTGATGTGAAGTACGTACTCGACAACAATAATATAATGCATATGCTAATAGTAATGATGTAATGATACAAAGATACCGGTATCACAATAGTCCCCCAAGTTTGAGTCAAATATTTGCTGAATAAATAAAATTCTTTTAACTCATGTACTAATGTTATTTACTTCATCCACTTACTGCTCCTATTTAATGTATTGTCATGCTATTCAGTATAATCCGAACTTAGTCCACTCCAATAATAATATCAAACTCATGGTTTTGTATAAGGGTCATATACCTTTATAAGTTTCTGAATATATGCACCTTAATGTTTATGAACTAAGGCTCTTTAGCACTTCAAACTTTAGAAGTTTGACTTTATTTATAATTTGCACAAGTATAGGCAGTTTGCTTGCCTTTCTTTTCTTAAGCATGTGGTTCACCCATACTGAGACTTTCTTAACAACTTTAGTTGTTAAAGGCACGTGTCACACTTCGCAAGCACGGATGTGATCCTTTTTGGGATCTAACTTTTCGTCAAACTGCCCACACATCTCTTCATAGGAACGGATCATCTATGAAGATGCTTCCCCTTTGATCTTTGTCAATAGGAGGTATTTATAATCTTTTGGTGAACTTGCTTTAATAAGAGTATTTTTAACTTTCCTAAACATGAGGTTGAGCGGTTCGCTTATGCTGAGGCTCCCTTAACAACTTTAGTTGCTAAAGGCACGTGCCACACTTTGCGAGAGCAAATGTGGTCCTTCTTCGATTCCAACTCCTCTTCGAAGTGCTCACGTGTCTCTTCATAGGGACGGATAGTCTATGAAGAGACTTCCCATTTGAGCTTTCTTAGTAGGAGGTATTTTATAATTTTTGAACTTGTACAAATTTAATTTTCAAGATTGTGAATTTTGTTTCCTGAATGAGGACTCCAAGATAATGCCACATCTTCCTTTATTCAAGGAACGAGGACTTCATGATAATGTCTCTTCCTTTATTCAACGAATGAGGTCTCCAACAAAGGATAAGCATCCGGCGTGGCAGAGAATAAAAATCCATCAAATAGCTCTCGAACTATCGGAATCTTATAAGCGGGTCTCAGATATAGAAGGTCTTACAGCTAAGCTCAACAATAATGCTATCGGAGTCTTTTAAACTGGTATCGGAATGACGAGATCTTACAATTAGGCTCAATGATGTAAGAGGCGAGGAATAAGTATATCGCGAGGCCAGGAATAAACATCTGGCGAGGCGGGGAATGAACATCCCGCGAACAGGTCTCGAACTATCGAAATCTTATAAGCGGGCTTCGGATAGATGATGTCTTACAGCTAGGCTCAACAATAGTGCTATCAGAGTCTTATAAACTAGCCTCGAAATGACAAGGCCTTATAGTTAGGCTCAATTATAGTGAGAGACGAGGAATAAACATTTTATGAAGTCAAGAATATGCATCTGGTGAAGTGGTGAACGAACATCCCGCGAATAGCTCTTGAACTATCGGAGTATTATAAGCGGGCCTCGGTTAGACGAGGTCTTACAGTTAGGCTCAACAATAGTGAAAGATGAGGAATAAGCATCTTTCGAGACCAGAAATAAGCATCGGCGAGGTAGGGAATGAACATCCCGCGACTGTTGACCCCAAAAAATAAGTCAACATAATTCTTGCCACGTTCCCTCTACGTGAACCTCCCATTTGTTATGAAATGAATCGCATATATATAGAAGTGAAAGTGGGTTAAGTGGGCATGTGGGACCAATATGAGATATTTCATGGGTATAACAAATATATTGTTGGAATTAATTGAATTTGGAATTAATCATTAAATATGATATTTAATGATATGGGTCATTGCAATTAATTTGGGTGAATTGAACAAGTCTCCAAGATCGGCTCATAAGTTGATAAGTCAATTTAAGTGTCTTATATATGGTTAGGAATCTCACATCGAAAGTTTACAAGAAAAAAAACTTATTTATATAGTGGGGTGTGTGTACAAGTTATAATTTAATAAGTGACCTACAACTTAGCTAACTTTGGCTAGCCAAATGCAAGCAAATTAGCGACCACTAGGGTGGTGATTCGCACCACTCACGCCGCGCACTGGCCCGTGCACTTCGCAAAGTTTGCATTGAGCTCTTTAGATGTGCACGTACGATCGAGCTGGAGAGTCTTATAGTTTTTGGAAATGGACTCAAAGTTCGATGATATGGCAGCAAAAGGCTTCATGAGTTGGCATCCTAAGTAGCATACACGTAACATGTGGCGTCACTTCGTCTTGCATGGCATCTGCTGATGAATAGGTATGATGAAAGGACACTATACTTCATGGTTTAATCTAGGCCGTCAGATCATGAAATGGTGCGATCCAATGGCTAATATAGAGGTCATCAATAGAACAATGAATGTACTTACTAATTATTTTGACATGCAAGATATGGGTAAAGGAAGCGTGATTCTAGGAATGAAAATATCTAGAACATCAGATGGAATATTCTTGTCTAAAACCCATTATGTTGATAAAATAATTGAGAGATTTAAGACTCATAATATTAAAGAGACGAGTAACTCATTTCTTCCTCATATAGTTCTTCACAAGAATGGAAAAAATGGGAAACAACAGTTAGAATATTCCCAAATTATTAGGAGTTTAATGTATTTAATGAATTGTACAAGCCCTAATATATCTTACTCGGTAAGTAAGTTCAGTCGTTACACAAGTAACCCAAGTAATCAACATTGGGATGCATTACTTAGAGTTTTGGGATATTTGAAACGGACAAGAGAGTATTTATTATATTATAGAAAATATCTTACCATAATTGAAGGATATAGTGATGTCGATTGGATATTAGATACAGACGAGTCAAAGTCTACCAGTGGCTATGTATTTACTCTCAGTGGCGTTGTATCATGGAAATCTTTTAACCAAACGTGTATAGCTCGATCTACTATGAAATCTGAGTTTATTGCTTTAGATAAAGCGGGAAGAAGAAGAATGGTTAAGACATTTCGTAGAAGATATTCTTATATGGCCAAAGCTTGTACAGACTATTTGTATTCATTGCGATAGCCAGGCAACAATAGCCAGGGCTAAAGATTTTGTGTATAATGGTAAGTCGAGACATATACGTCGTAGACATACCATTCAACGGTTTCTCTCAAATGGAACAATATCAATTGATTTTGTTAAGTCAAAAGAAAACTTAGAGAATCCGTTTACTAAAGGGTTATCTAGAGAGCGTATAAATTGTGCATCGAGGGAAATGGGTTTAAAGCCTAAAACCCGGTGAGTCATCTTAGTGGAAACCTAACCTGGCAACTGGAGATCCCACGGACTAGGTTCAATAGAAAACTAATTGTGAATGACTCGATAAGAAGCACTTAGGAGTTTAACTCCTTCCTATTTCTATGATGCAAAAAGTGCTGCCTATGAAGTTTATTAAGGATAAAATTTGCTTTTAATGATGACTATAAATAGTACAAGAGGGTACTCTTTATAGAACATCACCTATGTAAGTGCGAACTTGGCCGGTTCTTTGAGAATTTACTTTAGCGAATTCTCTAAAGCACCCGCAGAACTTCGAGATAATGAACACACTAGAGAACCAATTTTGACATGAGAGATAAGGTGCTTGGTCTATTGTCTGAGCTTGTAATAACGGCTGACAGTTTAAAACGTTGCATTCACTAGTTAGCCAGCGAGTTCAATAGATTCTTACTAAAGAAGGCTCAAAGCGAAAACTACCTATCTTGATGCATTATCTTTCAGATAGTACTTTCTTTCTTCTTCCTTGATTTGAATCGACTTCTTCCATTCATGCGGGGGATTGTTAGAATTAATTGAATTTGGAATTAATTATTAAATGTGATATTTAATGATATGGGCCTTTGCAATTAATTTGGGTGAATTGGAAAAGTCTCCAATATAAGCCCATAAGTTGATAAGCCAATTTTAAGTGCCAGTGAAATTAATTTGGGTAAATTGGAAAAGTCTCCAATATAAGCCAATAAGTTGATAAACCAATTTTAAATATTTTATATATGGTTAGGAATCCCACATCGAAAGTTTACAAGAAAAAGACTTATTTATATAATGGGATGTGTATACTAGTTATAATTTAATAAGCGACCTGCAACTTATCTAACTTTGGGTATCCAAATGCTAGCAAACTAGCCACCACTAGAGTGGTGCTTCGCACCACTCACGCCGCGCCCTAGCCCCGGCCTCGGTCCCGATCCGGATCCCGGCCCCAGCACGCGCACGTCGCAAAGTTCGTATTGGTCACTTTAGAGGCGTACTTCACACTTCCTACGTATTGTCGTGAAGAGTTGGGGAGCCTTATAATTTTCGGAAATTGACTCATGGTTCGATGACATGGTAGCGGAAGGCTCGATGAGTTGGCATCCTAGGTGGCACACATGTAATATGCGACGTCACTTCATCCTGCGTGGCAGTTTGATGTATGCATGACATCTACATGGCTGGTGAATAGGTATGATAAAAGGACACTACACTTCATGCTTTAATCTAGGCCGTCGGATCATGAAATGGTGCGATCCAATGGCTATGACGAATCAGACCAAGTGGTGCACCGATTCATGAAATGTCATACACTCATTCAATGAAACACTTCAATCCCTATAAATAGAGACCTTCAGATTCGTTTTTCAATACTCCAAATCAATTAAAAATAGTATTGACTTCTAAATTCATTCTCTCTCCATATTTCGCAAAAAATCCTTCAAATATATTCGTGGTTATTCCGTTCGAGTACAATCATTCTTTGGTTCAACCGACAAGGTTGGTATTGTGCAATATCGACTTTGGAAGGAGCGTTGTATCTTGTGAGACTGACGTCCATAATCCCGTTTGCACTTTATTGGGAGGCGAAATCTGTTTTAAAAAGATTTGCTTTGCCATACTTGACTTCATTTATTTTATGCTCAATTTATTTATTCTTTTGATTAAGATAATCGTATTTCCGACCACATATTATTTGTGCGTCCCCCCAATTAAGTGCCAAAAAAGGTCATTCAAGGAACTCGAATCTAACATTTCAACTTGATGACAAACCCAAGTACCAATCACTGATACTTACAATCTTCACAAGGTCAAGCATGTCGGCCGTAAAACGTCGTCCACAAAACGAACTAAACTCAACACCACCCAAACTAGTGATGGCAATCGAGCCGAGCGACTCGTCGGCTCGGCCGCTTGGCTCGTACTGTAGCGATCCACGAGTCGCTCGGGCTCGTCAAAAGACTAGCCCGAGCTCGAGCCGAGCGGACCCGTTCATAGACGAGCCGAGCTCGGCTCGTTAAGAGANTGGGCTCGTGAAAAACATTAAAAAAAAAAACTAAGAAAAACTAAAAAAAAAAAAAAAAATTTGACGAGCCACGAGCTGAGCCGAGCCGAGCTCGCCCACGAGCAAACGAGCCGAGCTAAGCTCGGCTCATTTTGTAACAAGCCACGAGCTCGGCTCGTAGGGCAATGGGCCGAGCCATTGCCATCACTTCCCAAACACAAAAAGGAGGAGAAAAAAAGTCTTCCTCTCTTATCTTTTATTGCTTTATTTATATGTTATTTCCTAGACAAAGGATCTTCACTTTGGTTGACTCACAGAGTGCAAAAGAGTGATTAGAAAATATTGGGTAATGGAGTTTGAAGAACAAAAGCATGAGCACCTCAAAGAACAAACCAGACTTCCAGATTTTGCAGTTCCTAAACGTTATGATCTCACTCTAAAACTTGATCTTTCGGGTTGTATTTTTTCTGGGTTTGTGCTAATTGATGTTGTCATCAATCGAGCCACGAGATTCCTTGTCTTGAATGCACTTGAACTTGTCATTCATCAAGTCTACTTCACCAACATTCAATCCCAAGTAACTTACTTGAACTTAAACTCAAGAATTAACAATTCACTTTTGATCATTCCTGTTTTTTCTTGCAGAAATATGTTCCATCAGATATTGTAGTTGACAACGAAACCGAGATAGTTGTGCTGGTGTTTGATGAGGTATTGAATGTGGGCAATGGAGTACTGGAGATTAGATTTTCAGGGGTTCTTAATGAACAATTGAGGGGCTTCTACAGATGGTGCCTTCTCTTTTATCTTTAATTTTCCAATTTCCTATATGTTCTCTGCTTGATTTTTCCTTCAGTTGATTTGAGGAAAGATATTTTTGTGTATTGTGAAGAAAAGAATTATAGAATGAGGAATTTAAGATGGGAACTTTCAATGTTTTGGATAAATCTTTGAGCGTTCTGAAATTTGGAAGTTAATTTTGTTTTTTACCTTTGAAATAGTAATTAGTAACTGGATTTCGATATATTAGTAGAAAACATGATTGCAGTAATGATTATTTTTGTGATCGAATTAGAGAAGATAGTTCTCTTAACTAGCGCCTGTTTGGCTCCCATTAAAGAGAGAAAAATGAATTATAATTTTAGAGTTCTACCATTTGTTCGCTGTGCTCTACAGTATAGAAGTTTTGGATGTCTGAACAAAGAAAAGGTTGCTTGGATTTATCCATGGTATTTATTTATTATTTAGTTTAGTTTATTTCTTACTCCAAAATCTCTAACAACACATTAATTGTGACAGTACTTACGTGGATGGAGGAGAAAAGAAGAATATGGCAGCGACTCAATTTGAGGCAGTGGACGCACGAAGGTGCTTTCCATGCTGGGATGAACCTGCTCTCAAGGTCCATACACGTCTCATTAAGTTGATTTGGTTCTTCTTTTGGGACTGATCAAAGTTTCAAATAAGTTGGAGGTGGTGCAAGAACGATTTCATCTGGCTGAAACGAGCATGAGAACCAATCTGTGAACTTTATGCATTTTGATAGTCCATCACCAATCTGTGCTGCTTTTGTTGTAATATTGTTTTTTAGCTACATGTTTGGTTATGTGACAATATCCTCTTTGCAGGCTACCTTCAAGATAACATTAGAAAACATTCCATTGGAGTTGACAGCGTTGTCAAATATGCCAATTTCCGAGGAAAAACTTGATGGGCACCTTAAGACTGTTTATTTTGAAGAATCAGTAGTTATGTCGACTTATTTGGTGGCTGTTGTAGTTGGTTTGTATGACTACGTTAAAGACATAACAGATGATGGTATGCATATATACATTGTCGAGGGCACGCAACAATAAAATATTCGTATTTGTCCTTGTCTAAATTTTAACTAATCCTAAACTATTTGTGCAGGAATCATGATCCAAGTATATACTCCTACTGGTAAAAGTGAAAAGGGGAAGTTTGCTTTAAATATAGCAATGAAGACACTGGACTTTTTCGAGAAGTAAGCGATCTTAAGTATACGAACAATTCATCAAAATCTGTGATTGGCAGTGTTGCAAAGACACGGTTGTATATTGAACGCCAATTCAGATTAAATGTTAGGTTCATTTTATTTTTATATTTACTTGAATTTTAAATTACTGTGGAATTCTACAGGTACTTTTCAATGCCTTATCCTCTTCCGAAGCTTGATATGGTTTCAGTTCCTGAGTTTTCTGGTGGGGCCATGGAGAATTATGGTTTGATTACATATCGAGAAACTGACCTGCTTCAAGATGAATTGCATTCTGCTGCAGCTAACATAACAAGGGTAGGTAACAATTCTGCACATATATTTTACCAATTTTTGCCTCAGAAAATATGATTACAAGAAGTATCACTAAGTTTTCCAATTATTTTTCGAATGCGACTTACTTTTCATGTGACAGCTTACAATTGTTGTGGCACATGAAGTTGCTCACCACTGGTTTGGTAACTTGGTTACAATGGAATGGTGGACTCATCTATGGCTTAACGAGGGGTTTGCGACTTGGGTAATCTTTCTCAGCATGACGTGATTCAGTGATTATAACGTCTTTGCTATTGTCTAATTTTGCAATCCAATGCTTTTAGGTAAGTTATTTAGTTACTGATAAATTATTCCCCGAATGGAAAATTTGGAATCGGTTTCTTCAAGAGATGACTAGTGGCCTGGGTATGGATGCCTTGGAACAATCTCATCCAATCGAGGTAAATGTTATTGATGTAGAATAATTTTTTACCATTTCTTGAGCTTGAGTTGAGTCATTTATTGCATGGTTGTAAATTTTTTGCGCAGGTGGAAATACACCAAGCTCGATCAATTCTTGAATTTTTTGATGAAATAAGCTATAGAAAGGGCTCATCAGTGATTCGAATGTTACAGGATTATCTGGGTGATGAAATATTCCAAGTAGGAGAATCCATTTCCAACCTTTTTAAGATTGTCAACACAAAATCAATATTGCACTACTTCCTTTTACGCCCTTACATTAATAGAAGATCATTATTTTGAAATTTTGCCAACTGTCCTACTTCTTTCTTGTATCAGAAGTCTTTAGGTTCGTACATGAAGAAATATGCATTTGCAAATGCCAAGACCGAAGACTTGTGGAATGTTCTCACAGAAGTATCTGGACAACTTCAATTGTGTTAGTACCTCTTATGGACAAAGCAAAAAGGCTATCCGGTTATCTCTGTAGAGCTGAAAGATCGTGTTTTGGAATTCAAACAGGTTCATATATTCATTTTCTTTATGGTGAACAAATTCTATTTTGTCATAAATGATACTTCTCGGTCATTTGCAGAATCAATTTCTATCTTCTGGTTTATGTTCTGATAGTCAATGGATTGTCCCAATTACCCTGTCCCTTGGTTCATACAATAAGCAAAGGAAGTTCCTTCTACAAACGAAAAATGAGCAATTGGATATAGCGGAATTTTTCCATTCTTCTGATGTAAGTTCAAGTGGGCACGAACAGCATAACCAGGAGGAATTTGGCAATAATGGATGGATCAAAATAATTGTACAACAGGCTGGTTTTTACAGGGTGAAGTAAGATAATAACCTTATGGCTCGGTTAAAGAATGCTATAGAGGGCAACTACTTATCATCATAACCAGGAGGAATTTGGCAATAATGGATGGATCAAATTAAATGTACACCAGGCTGGTTTTTTCAGGGTGAAGTATGATAATAACCTTATGGCTCGGTTAAAGAATGCTATAGAGGGCAACTACTTATCAGCAGCTGATGAATATGGTGCACACTAATTTCTCTAACTTCTTTTCATTATAATTGATTGATTTAATTCTCATGCTCGATATATTGTTACGATTATGATTCGTGGACTAGAGTATAACGTGCTTATCCACAGCTTAACCGCACTGCTCATTCATCCTACAACACTTGGAAACATTTGTCTTGCCTGCTGAAATTAGTTAGCACTTAAAGCGTATGTTTGATATACAATTCTAGACTGGACTTGATAGTACGATGCTTTCTTCATAGTTCACCTTACTAGACGTGCTATGACTGGTATAGCCGCGCTTATGCTTTTTCTTTAATTATTGAAGGATTTTGTTGAAATTGTTCGTTTGGAAATTTCCCGAAAAGCTAATCAATGTACAGAATGAAAACTTCATTCTCGATTCTACGAGAATTTTTATGAAAGCCTTTCATTTGCTTCTCTTCGACTGGGTATTCAATGTAAAGTTTCTTCTCAGGAATTTTGGATGATACATTTGCTTTTTGTGAGGCTTGTGAGATGCCATTTTCATCTTTGCTTTACCTGATGGAGGTGTACAGGAAGGAACTTGATTACATCGTGCTATCAAGACTTATTGATGTACGAAGTTCCTCTTGCATTTTAGTAATCACGCATTTGAATTATGGAGATTAAGTCTGTGAATTTTACCAACAGGTATGCTATAGTGCCGTGAATATTATAAGCGATGCCATTCCAGAGTTGGCGTCTGATTTGAAACAATTCTGCATCAATCTCCTCCTAATATCAGCAGAGTGAGAATGCCATACATTTGCTTGCACCTTAATCACTGGAATGAATTTATCTCCTTTCCACATCTGTAATCAACAATTGCTTTACATCTCTGCTTGCTACATTTATGTCTAAAACATAAAGTGAAAAAGTTCAAGGATCTAAATATTCGATTATATCTGCTTATAGAAAATTAGGTTGGGATGCTGCATCTGAAGAAAGCCAATTAAATGCACTGATGAGGGAAGAGGTTCTGATGGCGTTGGCTAGTTTTGGCCATCCTCAAACTCATGAAGAAGCAACGAAACGGTTTCATGCATTTTTAGATGATAAAAACACATCACTTCTTCCGGTTAACACCAGAAAGGTAACATAATGTATTATACAGCTAGACAATAAAATTGACAAAATTTTAATTCATTTTTCTTTCTTAATACTATTTAACATTGTCTAATCCACCTTTATAAACATCCGATAAAACATTCTGCAGGCTGCTTATACAGCTATAATAAGGAATACAAGTGCTGAGAACAGGGAAGGACTGGATTGGCTCCTAAAGTTATATAGAGAAGTTGGATCAGTGCAGGAAGAAGCAAGGGTCTTACGTAAGAATGTGGATTCGAATTAACATTAATCTTTCACTGATGATGTCTTCATATCTATAAAAGCTTCGCCAAGTCTAAGTTCATATACTTTTATGACCTTTTCTAGGCTTTATAGCATCTTCTCCGGACCCAATTATAGTTACAGAAGTTCTGAATTTGATGTTATCTGATGAGGTATTATGCTTTACAATGAACCACATTTCTGATTCCCGAGTACATCACTGATTTTCATTCTTGCTCCACTGCAGGTTCGTCGTCAAGATATAGTTTACATACTTTCAGGGATAAGCTGGGAATGTCGTGCCACAGCATGGTCGTGGTTTAAAGTATGCAAATACTGTGTTTGATTTTGCTCACACTATTCAATTACATTGTCAGAAAATATGGATAAATATCATACCTGAAATGCCATTATGCTGAAAATTTGTTTGAAGAAATGATACATGAATGCAGGAAAACTGGGAAAGGATCCTAAAAACATGGGCACCTGAAATGCTTCTGACTCATTTCGTTAGAGACATAATCGCACCAGTAAGTTCCTAAAGAAATAACCTATTGTACCTCGAGCTAAGAGCATTGTTAGTCACCCAATTTGTAGCGTTGTATCACTTTGGTCATCAAGCATGTTTTTGTTCTTTGGAAATTTGTTTCAAACTAGACGCTACTGTGGAAGTAACTGAAATGCTAACTTGGCTAGTGGAAATGATAATGTGGCATGGAAAATCCGTTGTGAATTATTTTCATTGTCATGCTAGAAGAGAGTGTATTCTTGGACAAGTTTCGAAATGCACTTTTATAAAGAAACAGAAAAAGAAAAGCACGACTTGTCCAACAAGATGCACTTTGCCTAGCAAGCGAAGTGGCTAAACTTGGAAGTTGAAACAAGAGTAAANAAAAAAAAAAAAAAAAAAAGAGAAAAAAAAAACAAAAAAAAAAAAAAAAAAATTTAATAGTGCTTTTAAACCAGATAATCTTCATGTACCAAAAATTAAACTAGAAATCTAAGTAGTTTTTCTTGTTCTTTAATGTTTCCAGTTTAGCAGCCATGAGATGGCAGACGAAGTGAAAGAATTTTTCGCAACCCACCCAGTTCCATCAGTCGACATGAATCTGAGACGAAGCCTGGAACTAGTAAGAATCAAAGCAAGGTGGATTGAACACATAAAGAAAGAGAAAGAATCACTTAGAGAGGTGGAAATGTTTTCTTTAGTACTAAAATAAGCCTATGCTTGATATGCATTCATTGTCTGTTAATGAGTATGAAGTATGCACGATCTGCAAGTGTTAAACTGTTTTAACTATTCTTGATTTCAAATTCTATTAGCATTAGTATAGTTTCACTTATTTTTGGCATGCAACTTAAGTTGGGGTTTAATTTGTTATGTGGATCGACAAATTAAAGTGATTTAATAAAGAATTAAAGTCATGGTCTTTGGGCATCTAAATAAAGTGTGGATCAAATTATGTGGTAATTACATAAAACAAGGTATTTTCTTTCACATTTTAAAAAATCATGTTTTCACTTTTTTTTTTTTATTTATCAGGTTTTTTATCTTTCCAAAAAAAAAAAGGTTTTTTTTTATCATTTTAATTAAATAATTATTCCTTTAAAACCCTAATTTATCAATTCACCTCCCCACACACGTTAATCTCTCTCTCTCTCTCTCTCTCTCTCTCTCTCTCTCTCCTCCTCCTCATCATCTCCTCCTCCCCTTCTCCTCATCCCTCTCTACTTCCTCCTCCTTGTCGGAGCTTCTCATCCCTACCGAATCATAGCAGCGTTCGACGCTTCTGTGAACGCCAGGGGCGGATCCAGCACCTGACCAGCCCTCGCTGCCGCCCGTGCTGGATCTGCCAGGAGCTTCTTCAGGTGAGGTCGACGACGCCGTCCGCCGGGAAGAAGGAATGAAGAAGAAGATGACATTTTTTTTCCTTTCTCAATGTTTGGGCTTTTTTAAAAAAAAAAGAAATAAGGCCCAGCCCAAATGCCCAATCAACCACAAAACCAAATACAATCCCTAAATCCTAAATTGAAATCGGCAGCCGCAGAGGACGAGAAGATTGGGACCTGTAGGGAGGCGGTGGCATTGTCTTCTTCGGGTTGTTGTGGGGAAAGCGATGGTGGTGGCGGAGGGTGGTTGTGGTCATGGTGGTGGGCGAAGCTAGTGTTGGTGGTGCACTGGTGGCATTTTTAGCAATGTTGGGTGTCTTTTTCTTCAAATGGGTCAGACCCTTCTTCATGGATAAGGTTAATTACTCGTACATAATTTGTCCAGGAGCTTTCTATGATTGTCGATTGATCATGTGAAACTTTAATATCTAATGGAATAAATATTTGAGTTGTTAATATGATTCTGGTGAATGAGGATAATTAATTTTGTACATCTGAATGGACCTGGAAATCTTTCTTATTTTATATTTAGGGTATTTTCTTCTTAATCTATTAAGCTATTACAATTAGAATTTCATTTTAGTCAATAGCTTTGAATGCTTATCTTGATGATCATATGTGCTAGATTGTATTTAATACGAATGGAGATTTTAGATTTATCTGTCTGAAGGGAGCTTAATCAATGTTTGTCGAGCCAAAGAATTGTGATAATTAGCCGGAAAGAGAGTGTGGCTTATAGCTTGCTGGTCATTTTTGGTCATTTTCAGTTTAACATTGGTTACTTCATTGTCATAGCTTTATCCCTTCTAATTGATGTCCAAATTTCAATCGATATTTGAATCTCTATCTAATACATTAGTACCATATCTGGTAAGAAGTATCAAGTATGGAATGGGATTGGACAGTATTGTGAACAAGATTCTAAGTTGTTCAGTACCGTGTGGTAAGGTAAACATGCACTAGTTTCTCATTGTATTACAGAGGTTATGAGTACTATATTTTTTTCCCTTGGCCTAGATACGGTTTGGCCATTTTCAGCAATTATCACTGTCCTCCCTGATCATTTAGTTTTCTGAGCACAACAAATATCACTAATACTATGATCGTTGATTGTTAACGATCATCGTCACCGGTCAACAGTCAACGGTCTCCGCTCGTGCTGAACTATAAGGCTGGATTCGCCCCTGGTGAACGCTGCTGTGAATCACAGCATTGATGCTCAGTGTCGACGATGCTGTGGTTGTGGGGGGTTGAGGTTTTTTTGTTGGGTACAGCATCTATGTTGTCGAAGGTGATAGGGGTTTTTTGTTGGACACAACAGCTGTGTTGTTGGGTACAGTACGCTGCTGTGTTGTCGGCGGTGATAGGGTGGGCGTAGATGTGGTGGCTGCGACGGGGTGGAGGTGGTGTCAATGGTGCTCTGTGGATTTGTTGTGGGTGTGGCTGTAGGAAGCTGTGTGGTGGTGCGGGCGACGATTGGACGGTTGTTTTTTGTAATTATAATGGCGGTGGTTGTGGTGGTGTTGTGATGGGGTGACGATGGTGGTACTATTCAGGTGGCAACGGTGATGGTTGGTGGTGTTATTGTTGGTGGGTGTTTTAGGGATTAGGGTCGGCGGCGAATGGGACGAAGTATATGTGACCAACTATTTGGTCGTTCTGTGACCTGTGACAAAATATTGTTGGTGTATTGGGATTGGAGGACGGGTGTGGCGGATGGGTCGAAATGTCTGTGACCATCTATTTGGTCGATCTGTGACCTGTGATCTGTGACCATCTATCGAAATATTTCGTGACCTACAAAATTTTTGATCTGTGATCGATAAAAAATTGTGACCTAAGAATTTTAGATCTTTGACCTCGAAATAATCTGTGACCTACAAAATTTTTGATCTGTGACCGGAGAACAATCGTTGGAGTGCTCGAGGATCACAGGAATAGTCGCCGGAAGGTGGGGTGGGGTGGGTTAATTATATTATATTACAGTTAAATATTTGATTTAATATAATAATTGTGAAATATAATTAATTAATTCATGAAAGACCTGATTTTTGCAATTCTAAACTTTAGGGCCTGATTTTTTATTTTGGGATAAAAAAAATCTGAGTTGTGAATTTTTCCCTCAAATTATGTGTAGAGATCAGATCCATTAGGGTCGTATTTGACGATAGGCCGAATACATATGGAACTATAAATAGAGTTATGGTCCCCAATTCAGATGTAATTCTCATTCTTTGTGTTACCTGATCAATACAAGAAAAAATATACTAAAGAAGAAGATCCAAAATCCACAAATAAGAAGGAATTGAGACAATCAAGATTATGAAGCAAGAAGCCAAAATCAATAACAGTAATTCAAAAATCAAGAGAAACAATTTTTAAGATTAAAGATTAAGAAACCAAAAATAAAGAGATTGCAGTTAACCTTTAAGATTCAAGATCTGACAATAAAGAATAATTCCTAATGAATTAAGGTATGTTGCACATTTAATAATTATTTTGATAATTTGACATGGTAGATCGACAATAAAGTAATTATGTTTTAAAGTTCTTGATATTTAAAGTTTCATGAAATTCTAACAAGTAATATTAGAGCCAACTTCATGTTAAACAATTGAAATCCAAGAAAGAATTTTATGGTTGAAATTCATACACTGAATTTTAGAATTCTTTAATTTGGAATATGAATTTTAGCTATAAATTTCGAAATTAAGAATTCTTCAACCAAGAATTTTGGGTTGAACTTCATACTTTGGAGTTCTTACTTTAAGGATGTGAATTTTAACCCTAAAATTCAAAATTCAAATTTTTTGAAATTTTTTCAGATTAATAGCATTGCTGTGGCACTGCGCTTTGGAAATTTGGGTAGTGTGGAAGCGCTACAGTGCCTAGTCGTTACCTGGGTAGCTCTTCAACACTGAAGCTCCCAGTTTTGGGCTCTGTTGTGCAGTTTTACTATACATATTTTATTTTATTTTTCTTTTATTTTTTTGTTAAAACAAAAGAAAGAAAAATAGAAATTAAAAAGATAAAAAGCAATCAATTTAAAATCTTGGTATTTAAAATTCATTTCGAATTACTAATTTTCTAAAATAAATTAAATGAAGCAATATTTTACGAAAGTAGTCTCTCTTATCTAAACTAATTTATTTGAATTATTAGGAAGGTTGTGCGTACGTAATTCATGTGGATATTCACCTGCCCAATAGAATGTCAATATTTGGCCGAATTATTTGCACACATGTAGTAATAAATATGTGATAATTATAAATATTATTTTTATGTGAAAATTGAGTCGGTCAAAGATAGATTTGTTTGACATGTTTTATTGTCAATATTTAATTACTACATCAAGAGTACTACTTACAAGTTGATATTTCTATCCAAAGACTAAATGTCAATGTTATGTCCAATCTCTTGTGATGGGGTCTTCCAGTATTGATTGCTCAATGTGGATTCTCATGTGAACATGTTAATTAGATTTAAATTCTCTATTCAATTAATCCATCAACTTCATCAATATCTTCCAACATCAATTCAATTCAGTGCTTGAACAAAGTTTAAGGGCCAGAAAGAAAATGTTTGTATCGTTTTTGACTGCATGGATCTAGACTTTGTGTTAAGGACTAAACAACTTACCACTCTTACGTATAAGAGTTCTGCTAATAAAAAGGGACTCGGATAAGTGAGGTCGTTCAAACCGCATAAGTCTTATAATCATGAAGCGTGGAATTTCAGTAACATTTAGGGGCGTTATGTTTCATAAGGTAACTACTGCCAATGAATTTTTTAAGGAAATTGAAAAACGTTTTGCAAAAGATGATAAGGCCGAAACTAGAATACTTTTGGCGAACTTTGTTTCACTAAAATATAAACTAAAGAAAATATAAGGAAGTACATCATAAATGTGTCTTATTTTGCTTCAAAATTAAATGTACTAAAGTTTAAGCTGTTTAATGATTTGCTCGTGCATTTGGTTTTAACTTCTCCTCTTGCACAATTCAGTTAATTTGAGGTTAGTTACGGCTTTCCAAAGGAGAAGTTGACTCTTAATGAGTTCATTTCATATTGTGTGCAAGAATAAGAAAGGCTAAAACAAGATAGAGCTAAAAGTACTCACTTGACAAGTACATCTAAGGACAAGTTAAAGAATTAGGAAAATGCATTTGGTTTAACTTAAAAGAAATGGCAAAAACCTAAAAAGGATTAATCATCTAGTTTTTACTTTTGTGAAAATCTGGGGCACATGAAGATAGACTATACTACCATGCTTGTCGTGTGAGGAAAAGTATACTTTTCATTTTGATTTGTTCTGTGATTAATTTAGTTTCAATACTAAGATACGCTCGATGGATAAATTTTGGTCCCACTATTCACATAAGCGTGTCTATGCGGGGATTCCTGAAAATTCAAAAGTCAATTGAAGCTAAAAGATTCATCTAGGGCAATGACAAATCAGTTAAAGCTGAGGTTATAGGGATTTTTTTAGGTTACATTAAAGATTGGTTATTATTTGGATTTGAAAGAGACATTTGTGGTACCGTCCTTTAGGTAAAACTTGGTTTCTATTTCTACATTGAACAAATTCGATTACTCTTCTTCATGTGAAAATATTTCAGTTTAGTCTCTTTCTGAAATCAAATACTCTGGAATCAATTCTTTCTCTGATTATGATACCCTATAGTTCCTTAATTTGGTTAGCCACTTATAAATTCATGTGATATTAAACATAAATTAACCAATGAAAATTTTGCTTCGTTATGGCATAAGTCATCAGGTCGCATATCTCAAAAGAGAATGGAAAAGTTTGTGTTAGAATGAATTCTTGATCCCTTTGGTTTTTTTGGACTAGAGTGTTTGTATTAATTACATTAAGGGAATACAAACACATAAAAGGATATTATGTGTCAATAGAATTTCGAACATCTTAGAATTAATTGATATGGATATTCGCGGATCATTCCCTTCAGCTTCTTGGAATGGTCAAGAGTCATTTATTACGTTCATAGACAAGTTTTCAGGTAATGACTACATGTATCTCATTAATGAGAAGTCTCAATCACTGGATATGTTCAAGTTTTACAAGATTGGGGTTGAAAATAAATTACCAAAAGAATCAAACACGTCGACCTAGCCTTGTGTTCGGACAATCCCCGCAAGTGTACAGGATCGTTGTACAAGTAATAAAATTTATAAGTTAATAATATCGTTCCTACGAGGAATAAGGTCTAATTTGTAGTTCAATAGCTACTATTAAATTAGAAGTGTGGTGATACCAAAAGAGATGATTTATATGTAATATATATTAATCATAAACTAACAAAACAAATAAAGTATTTATTTAATATGTAAATGTTTGTATTGGAATTGTGAATCCCCATATTGCCATTTAATTCAATTTTTAATTCGTAATCTAGTAAATTCATGTATTCAAGACAATCGATAATCAATTGTTATTCAATATTCTTTTCAATATATATTAAACATATATTTAACACAATCTGATCATATTCCTAGCTCAAAAATTCATATGAAAAACATGCATTGATTTACATGATTTATCACACATGATTGCATATGCCATAGATATTATTCCTAATACCTATTGTCCATGTGTTGATTTTGCCGCGTTCTAAACTTATTGTGAGTATTCATACACTACAACAAGTAACTTACTATATAATTGGTGATCAAGCAATCAAATAGTTCAATGTGGATGCAAAACCAAGACTAACATTCTTATAATTAAATTATACAAGAATAATTGGAAAAATATCACCCGAAAATAAGGATGATGGAAGAAGTAGTAGAAACCACTTTCTTGGCTTAAATCTTGAAACCGGGCTAAGAATCTTCAAAATTCTTGTATGATTCGTCTTGAATTGATGTATAGACTTGTTCTTCGCCTCTAAAATACGTAGAATATATGATATTTAGGTCAAAACGAGGTCTCCCTTACGTTCGGCCGAGTTTGATATTTAAAGAATGTCAAAAAGATTGCGTTGAATTGTTACCCCAAAAAAATAAGGAAAGTGTGCGCTTAGGCATATCTAGGGCATGAGCCTAGCTGGTTTTGGATCCTTAGGCACCCCATTTTTGGTTGGGGCACGAGCCTCGCTCAAATTTTCGATAACTAAAAAGTTCTTAGTATTTTTACCATAAATTTCTCTCCCGCTGTCCGATTAAAGTGATTCAAAGTGCATTGGAAAGACAATTCGGAGGGCTACAATTCTTGTAAATATATCATTTTTCCAATTCGAAAGCTTGCTATGCCAAAAAATGGGTCTCAAACTGAGACTGAAAATTCGAAGCATAACTTTTTCGACTAGAAGTTGATATGTGATAGTACTTGGACAATGTTTCATCCCTTTGTCTTCTTTTCTCATCTGCTTAATGCCTAACACTCTCAAATCTTCATCGTGGGGTTCGACGTAACTTTTGAGTATTTGCATTTCAATCCCCGAACTTTGTATTTGATACAATTGAGTCATTTTCTGCTATCTTTGCATCTTTTCTTTAATTCTTTATCAAACGTTGAATTTTATCTACAAAATGAAATATAACAAAAGTTAGGTGGTATTTTATCCAAAGAGCAGTAAAATATCATCATTTATGACCTCGAATAAATGTAAAAACTACACTTATCACCGTGATGGTGTATACTATGACAAATTTGATGGATCAGGAGAACAACGTCTAGGGCATTTTGCTAAATTCTTAGAGGGATGTGAAATCGTTCCACAATGCATCATGTTAGGGTCCCCTATCATGAATATTGTTGCTGGGAGATGAAATATAACACTTAAGGACATGGAAAGAAGTATGATTAGTCATTTCACCTTACCAGAGGCTCTAAAAAGAAGCTCTAAAGGTTGTAACTTAAATTTTCAATAAAATTCCAAGTAAAGCAACTGTTAAGGGGTTACAAATTTTAAGGATCTCAATATTAGGTTAATTTTCGAAACGAAAAATGTTCGATTCCTTGAGGATGTATAGTTTGCGCCGGGGGGAGGGAGGGGGGGGGGGAGAGAGAGAGAGAGAGATAAGGTTAAGGTTTTTGTCTTTGAAGAAGGATATGTATATATCTCTTCTGTTACAATTGATAATGATAAGAATTATGGACAAATTCTTGATTTTTGTCTTTGAAGAAGGATATGTATATATCTCTTCTGTTGCAATTGATAATGATCAGAATTATGGACAAATTCTTGATCCAAATCTTGTTCAAGAGGTAATTTTGGATCAAAACATTATTACAAAATTCCCTATACACAATCAAGAGATTGTTTCAGAAAAACAAGCTCACACTCTCAAAAACAAATGTTATTGAGAAAATCCACTAAAGAAAGGAAAAGGGCAATTCCAAATGACGTTATATTCATTCTCCAAAAACATGATGATGGCATGGATTGATGGAGAATATCTTATCAATCAACTTTCATCAAACCATGTAAATGAATAATTCTCAAAAGTGGATTGATGCCATAAATAAAGAGATAAAGTCCATAAAAGACAATGACTTTTGGGAACTTATCTCATTAACTGGAGGTACGAAGCCCATTAGTTGTAAATGAATATTTAAAATCAAGGGGGATTCGAAGGGTAATGTGGAGAGATATAAGACGTGTTTTGTTGCAAATGGCTTTACTCAAAAGGAATGTATTGATTTTAAAGAGATATTCTCTCTGATTTCTACGAAAGACTGTTTTAGAACTATTATGGCACTTGTGACACATTTTATATTAAGTTACGTTAGATGACTTACAAATTAAAGAAATCCATATATGGGTTTAGGCACACTTCGCGTCAATGGTATCACAAATTTCATCAAATAATTATCCTGCTTAGTTTTGAGATGAATGCAGATGATGATTGTATATATCACAAATTCAATGGGAGTAAGCATATTTTTGGTATTGAA